CTTTTTGGTACAGTGACTTTGTGTATTCTATCTTCTTTTGATGCTTTCCTCATCATTCTGAATTTTTCCCCTCCGTGTTCCAATCTGAGGCTTCAATTTGTTCTTCAGTTCTTTCAGCTTGAGAAATGCTAAGTGTGTTTTTCCCTTTTGGTTTTCTAACTTCAACTCTTTGCACATTTTAATACAGTATTTTCCCTTGTCTTCTCAAGTTGCCATTTGAAATCTTCTGTTAAGCTCTTTTAACTCATCATTACTTGATTTGATTTCTTTTTGACAGATAAGTGCCAGTAATTCAAGCTGGATTCAGAAGAGGCCATGGAATATGGAATATCATTGCTAATGTCAGATGAATTTTGCCTAGAGCAGAGAATGTCAGGAAGATGTTCATTTCTATTTTATTGATTAATCAAAGGAATTTGACTGTGTGGACTGTAAAAAATTATAGCTACCATTGAGAAGAACAGGACTCACAGAACACTTAATTGTGCTCTTGTAAAAATCTCTGTTGTTGCTGTTACGTGCCATAGAGCTATGATTCATAATAACCCTATGCATAATAGCTTTGAGCCCTACTCTATCCTGAGCCAGTCTCACTGTCTCTGATACACCTACCCTAGTTACGTCAGTTACTGTGCCAACTCTTCTCATCCAGGGTCTTCCTCTCCTGTACTGTCCCTCAACACTTCTAAGCATGATATCCTTCTCCAAGGACTGGTTCCTCCCAGCAACATTCCCAAAGTTATGTGAGACATAGAGTCAAAATTCTTGCCTCCAAAGAGCAGCTTGGTTTCACACTCTCCAGGACCGACCTGTTCTCTTGACAGGCTATGGAATGTTCAAGACTCCTCTTCAGCACTACAACTTAAAGGCAGCAATTCTTCTGTCATCTTTGGTCATTGTCTAGCTCTCTGATGCATAGTATGTAATTACAAAGACAATGGCCTGGACCCTGGTGCACCTTAGTTTCTAGACTGACATCATTGCTCTTCTGCATTCTGGAGAGATTCCTGATAGCAAATTTTTCTAATATAATTCATCTTTTTATTTCCTAACTGCTGGTGCCAAGAGTGTTGGTTGTGGAAATGATTGTTAACAATCTCTTCTCCATCTATAATGATTCTGCAAACTGACCCAGCTGTGAGGATCTTTGTTTTCACGATGTTTAGCTTCATCCATATGGCAGACTATAATCCTTGATCTTCTGCAGCAAATGTTTCAGACCCTTCTTAGTTTCAGCAAGCAGGATGTGTCATCTGCATAACATAGGTGGTTGTTCCTCCAATCCTGATACCACATTTGTCCTCATAAAGTTCAGCCTCTCAAATGATCTATTCTGAATACAAATTGAAAACATATGGAGACAGGATGCATCCGTGTTGCACTCCCTTCCTAATTTTGAAGTATGCAGTGTTGCCTTCTGATGACTGCCTCTGGGTCCAAGTATAGACTGCACATGCGCACAATCAAGTGTTCTCAGATTTCCATTCTTCTCATGGTTAGCCACAATTTGTTGCAATCTGCACAAATGCCTTGGCATAGTCAATGAAACACAGATAGACATTTCTCTAGTACTCTTGGCTTTCAGTCAAGATCCATCTGACATTTGTAATGACACCCTAGTGCCAGACTCTACTAAACTTGGCTTGTATTTCTGGGAGTTCTCTGTCAATGTACTGTTCTAGTTCATGTTGTTGTTGTGTACTGTTGAGTTGGAACCAACCCATAACTGACTCTCCAGTGGCTTCTCAGAAGCAGTTAATCATACAGGAGGATATTGCTCGTCCTTCTCGTTCAGAGCAGCTGGTAGATTCAAACTGTGTGCTTTCTGGATTGCATAACAGCTTCTTGCCACTAGGCCATCATAGCATCTTTAAGTATTGCAACAGAAGCAGCAGTAGGCAGCCTGAGAGAGTCCAAAGGTGGTGGCAGGAAAGACCAGTATCAACAGAAGTGACTGGAGACCTGAGCCACCATATCAAGAGGTGGCTTAAGGGAGGGAGGGAGGAGAGGAGTGCTGGTTGGATAATGTGGGAGTTTGAGGAGGAGGAGCAAAAGTGAATGCTGAGAAGCAGGGCTGGGGGGACTGAATCAAGCCGCAGGTGCCAAAGCAAAGGGGGGACCAACACCAAGTTTGTCACGTTTGTAGTAGGGAAGTATAAATCTATTCATAGACCCAAAACAGCTGTCCAAGCACAGCAAGAGAACACTGCATGGTTTAACATCAGGAAAGGTGTGCATCAAAGTTATATCCTTTCACCACATCTATTCAATCTGCATGCTGGGCAAATTATTTTAGAAACTGGACTATCTGAGGAAGAATGTGACATCAAGTTTAAAGGAAGTCACTTCAACAATTTTTGTTATACGGATGACGGAATTTTGCTTAAAGGAATGATGAGGGCTTGAAGTACTTGCTCCAGAAGATCAAAGACTGTAGCCTTCAATATGGATTATATCTCAACCTCAAGAAAACAAAAATCCTCACCTTTGGACCAATAGACAACATTACAACAGATGGAGAAATGATTGAAGTTGTTAGCTATTTTATTTCACTTAGATGAAATCAACACCTATGACACCAGCAGTCCGGAAATTAGAAAAAAAATGGATTGCATTGTGGAAAAGAAGCTTTCAAGAATCTCTCCAAAGTGCTAAAGAGCAATGATTTCAGTTTAAAAACTAAGGTGCTCCTGATCTAAGCAATTTTTTTTTCAGTTACTTTTTGTGGATTTGAAAATTGGTCAATAAATAGGAGTGACAGAATAAGAATCAATATCATTGAGCAGTAGTGTTGTAGAGTGCTGAATATTTTTCAATTTTTATTAAATTTTATTAATTTTAATGAACATTTACAGATATTTTGGATTTCCATTCATTCATTGTTGCACTATTTTCTCACCCTCCCCCAGTTAGTTCCTCTTTTTTTCCCCCTTGAAAGTCTTTTTTAATTGTCCCATTGCCACAGTGCTTGTCAAAACCAGTTCTGATTAATCTCCTTTGTCAGTGTATCCTTTGCCATTCCCTATCACTCCTCCCTGAGAGAGACTTCACCCTGATTCATAAGGAAAAGGGGACGGCGTATTCTCTTAGTGCTGAATATTCTATGGTTTGTCCAAAGGGCAAGCAAATCCATCTTAGAGGAAATGCAACCAGGGTGTCCTTTAAAAGCAAGAATGATTAAAATCTGTCTCATGCTTTGAACAGGTAAGGAAGGGCCAGTCCTGGGAACAGGGCTTTATGCTGGGAAAGAGGATGCACAGAGAAAGAGAGGAAGACTTCCAACACAATTAATTGACGCAGTGATTCCAACAATGTGCTTAAGTATCTCAGAGATTGTGAGGATGGTGCAAGAAGAGGACAAGTTTCAGATCTGTTGTTCATAGAGTCATGTTGAATGGTAACCTAACAACAACTTTAAATGCAAATGTCTTATGAGCAGGCTTAGCCTTCAAATATAAAAGACACACTATACATTCTTTAAGTTGAAATAATTAACTGTTAACAAAATGAAGTCCGTGGATCACTAACCTTTAAGGAAAGTTAGGAGAAACAAAACTTTATAAAGCTAAGAACCTGTGCTCACCAAAAACTAATATAAAGGAAAGCAAACACAAGCCATTCACCTAAATAAATCAGCAACATATATTGGCAAAGAGTGGTAAGTCCTCGTGCTTACTGTGTGCCAATCCAAAGGTGCATGGTTCAATCCATCAGCTGCTTTACAGGAGAAAAATCAATCAACTCCTCCTGTTCGATGCACTGCCTCTGAAAATCCACTGTAGGGTCAACTATGGGTTCTAACTCAAAGGTGCACAAAAGCAACCACAACGTTGTGAATTAATAAGAAAAAAAATATATAGTTCAACAGAAATACCAAAGAGGAATTTCCATGAGAAGGAAAAGAAATGGCCCATAAACATGTGAGAAGGTGCTTGACTTCTGTGATAATTAAATACATGTCATGAAATAATATTTACATTCACTAAATAGAATAAATGAAGATGTATCAGTGTTGTTATGAATTGTTAGGAATTTCCTATGGATGTTTAAATTAATTTATTCATTTACAAAACTCTTTTAACTCATAGAGATTTGTAGGGTCACTATGATTTACAGTCAATTTGACAGCACATAACAACAACAACAACAACAACAACAACAACAGTTTTTGGGAGTTCTCAAAGTAGCCTAGGGCATAGGTATTTTACTGCACCAAAAATTCCACCTTAAGAATAAAATTTATTCTGATTTCTAACAGATGTGTGTGACTATATTAAAACAATTTTATTCATATAGAAAATTAACTACCAAAGCTTCAATCAATATTACAAATGTTGTATTACTTTGTAATGTCATAATACAAAGTGTTCAAATGTACAGCATTCAGAGCAAATGAATTATCACATCCAGAGGTAAGACGAATTTCAAAAGCACAATCAAGACACATAATTAAGTCATTAAGATAAAACTATTAATTCTTTTTAAATGTAGACACATTTATAAATCATATAAGAATAAACCCAATCCAAGAAAAACTCCCAAATGTACTGCAATTGATATAATTCTGACTCATAGCGACACTACCAAGGAGCTGAGTCACACTGTCAATAGTGTTTCCAACCCTTCAAATCTTTATATAAGCCAGCTGTCGCTATCTCATCACAGTGTGGGTATTTTAATTGATATCATAAACCAAATGTGAGTGAATAATACAAAACCAACTTACTTTTTAAACTTTAAAAGGAAAAAGAAGGAAAACCCAAAACCTGCACCACCTTGCCTCAAACAAAATAAACCGCTGAATTTAGAGATCTGAAATAATTTGTCAAACAGCACAGGGATACACAATTAGCAAAGTCAGGTTTAAGGTCCAAGTTAAAACCTTTACGTTGTCTCTTCATTTCACAAGAACTTGGCGATATCCATCGGGCACTCTGGCTCCTGGTACCCTGAGACAACTGATGCGATCTTGCAATCCATATCCAAATCAAATAATTTAATCACCAACAAGCCCGTGTGCACTTGATAATGTTCCTCAAGGCTGCCTTCATGTCCCTGTTCCTCAGGCTGTAGATGAAAGGGTTCATCATGGGAGTGACCACAGTGTACATCACTGAAGCTACAGCTGTCTTCCTAGAACCATGCATAAATGTCGTACTAAAATAGGCACCAAAAGCTGTCCCATAGAATAGAGAAACAACCGAAAGGTGAGACCCACAAGTAGAAAAAGCTTTATATTTCCCACTTGCTGATGATATTCTCAAAATAGAGGATACGATTTTTGTATAAGAAAAAATTATCCCAGAAAAAGGCACAACACCCAATAGACTGGCTGCAAAATATAAGACGAAGTTATTGATGAATGTTTCGGAACAGGCCACCCTGATGACCTGAACAACTTCACAGAAGAAGTAAAGACCTTCCAAGTCGGTGCAGAATGACAGTCGCAGCAACATCAGGCTATGAAGAAGGGCATCCACAACACTAATGAGCAGGGAGAACAGAATCATTAGAAAACAGTGGCGAGGATGCATGATAGTTGTGTACCTCAGGGGCTGGCAAATAGCCACGTAGCGGTCATAGGCCATCACGGAAAGAAGAAAACTTTCCAAACTGGCAAAAATCAAGACAAAGCAGACCTGGGTGAGGCATCCCGTGTATGTGATGCTATGATTCTGTGCTTGGATGTTCAGTAGCACCTTTGGGATCGTGGTTGTGCTGAAACAGATGTCAGTAAAGGAGAGATTAGAAATGAAGAAGTACATGGGGCTGTGTAGATGGGGGTCACAGCCGACAGCCAAGATGATGAGCAAGTTCCCCAAAACAGTGACCAGATAGATGGTCAGAAACAGGCTAAAGAGGAGGGGCTGTAGTCCTGGGTCTTCTGTCAGTCCCAGGAGAAGAAATTCTGAAATAGTTGTTTGGTTTCTCAGTTCCATGTTATTGATGAATCTGCTGGGAAAGACGGGATGATCAGACAATAATCGATAGGCTATGTGCACATTACCTGACTGTTCAAAATAAAGAAACCAGAAATTGATGCTGTTGAGCATCAATATTTATTTTAGAAAGCAGTGAAAGGTGTTCGTGTTTTTAAAAATTACTCTATTTGTTCTCAATTACACTTATTAAGTTTGTAAGCTCTGGGCCTAGTGATAAGGAGGTGGGCTTCTGACCCAAAGGCACCCTGTTCAAAGTCATCAATTGCTCTGGGGAAAAAGATGAGCATTATTGTCCTATGTGATTTAGTGCCACTGAAAATTGCAGAAAATCCTATGCTTTTACTGACCTTCTACTGGAGGGTCAACTATGAGTCAGTTCTGACTCCACAGCACATAACAGCAACAAAAATTTGTGCGCATACTATCATTTACTAATTTTACATAGAAAGAGACACTCAGCAGTTGTGTACCATTGAGTGGGAACTGACCTGTCACTGGAAGGTTTTCAGAGGCAGTTAATCGCTCAAAAGGAGGCTGCCGTCATTTTTCTGTGGAGCAACTGATAGATTCAAACCACATGCCTTTGAGACTGCAGTGCAGCTTCTTTCCACTACGCTACCAGACCTCCCTATACTCACCAGACAGCCTGATAAATTTGCCTCAGATTTCACCTTTTTCTCGGAAATTATAATTGGGTATAGAAACACGAGGATCTTTTGTATTTCAAAAGTTTGCTTTAAAAAAATTTTAAAAGTTTGCTTGATGATGCTTTGCTTTTATGAAATACCTACATTAACAACTATTTAAAAAAATCTGAAAATGATTTTATTTTTTTTTAAAGGGCAAAAAAAAGTTCAACTTTTGTATGTCAGAGCGCCATTAAAGATGCAATGCATACTCCAAGCATCTCTTTCTCTCTCTCTCTCATCTCTATCATCTTATCAATATCATGATATCATCTATATCTGTATCTGTACCTATATCTATCTCTATATGTCTATATGTCTGTCTGTCTATCTATGTATTTATCTATCTATCTATCTATCATCTATCTATCTATTGATCTATCAATCTATCTTTGTGATAACTTCTCTTTCCCTTCATCTTTCCTATCCATTCACTAATCTCTGCTCGCTCTCATTCCCCTTCCATCCCCACCTCTCAAACTTCTCAACCCTTTTAATGCTCTACTTTTTGGTAGTGGAGGGAAACTTACAGTACAAATGTGTGTTAAGAATCAGGAAGATTTTTTTTTTTTAGGAAAGATCAAATGAGGGTCTGCAAAGTAATAATAGTGTGTATAGATTAATGGTGATTAATTTTATAGAACACACTGTATAGGAATTATCATATGAAACACAGTGTGAATGAAGGAATATCGTGAAATAGAATTTGAATATAATGAAATATACAGTGAAGGAATATATGTGAAAAATAGTGTATATGAATGAAACACAATGAATACATTTTGTTTGGCAGCTAGTACAAAATAAAAGCATATTTCAAAACAAAAAAAAAGAATCAGGAAGATAAAGAGATGTTAATAAGCTGTCAACACCATAAGCTGCTAATCATAATACATGTCAGAAAATTTTAGGACATTTAGCATGCATGAAAAAGGCATATCTCTGTCTAGGGGGAAAAAAATACGGTTTTTGCCATTGTGTAGAGAGAAGAAAACAGAGAATGATGGCTCCCTGACATTAGTGCAAAGATATATGAAAACATGTGAAAAAGAGCAAAGTCATTTAGGCAGGGTGATTTGATTTTAATAATTTTTCATGCACGTACTGTAATCTTCCTCTGCACCATTCCCTTGGTTGAACCTACATTAAAACACTTTCTTCATTTCCAACAGTGAACTAAGGGCTTAGGTTACCTGACTGACATCACTGAGAAATGATTCTTGATATCTGTCCTACAAGTCAGGTGATGTAGGTGAGAAATCTTTCCTCAGGAAAAGCAGAGGGACCAGGCTCCTCAACAAGAGAATCGACTGTGTGAAGTCTCAGGTATGCTGCTTCCTGATTAAAGGAGAACTATTCATTGAGGTGGTCACAGCCAGACTATTAGTCATCCCCGGAGACTCAATAGACAAAACTCCTTGTTAACAAAAAAATTTTCTTGTCATTATGATCCCAATTAAAAAAAAATTCTCAAATTCATTGGCATCGAGTCTAACCAGACTCAGAGCTGACGCTCCAATGAGAGGGTGTAAATTACACATGAGATTCTCCATCTTTCTCCCTTGAAGAGGCAGGTGGATTCGAACAGCCACAGACAGTAATCCGCTTTAGGATCAGCAGCACAACTTCCTCCATTTACCACTACTAGAGCTCTTCTGATCCGAGGCCAGTGCACATGCATAAAAATCAAGAAAAAAGAAAATAGATGGACTTCAGGATGGCTTAGAGACCTCTCCAAAGTACTGAAAAGCAACAATGTCAGTCTAGAGACTAAGGTGTACCTGATAGAGGCCATTGTCTTTGCAATTACATGTTATGCATCAGAGAGCTGGACAATGACTAGGGATGATTGTAGGAGAGTTGATGTCTTTGAGATGTGGTGTTGGAGTATTGAATAAACCATGGACTGCTAAGAGAACAAACAAGTTCATCCTGGAGAGAATAAAGACAGGCTGCTCCTTGGAGGCAAGGATTCTGAAGCTCTGTCTGACATACTTTGGACATGTTGCAAGGTGGGATCAGTCCTTGGAGAGGGACATCGTGCTAGGGAGGGTGGAGGGACAGCACAGGAGAGGAAGACCCTCAATGAGATGGATTGATTCAGTGACTGGGGTATAACGAGGGTAGGTGTATTGGAGAAAATAAGATTGGCACAAGATAGAGCAGGATTTAGGGCTGTTGTGCATAGGTGTGCCATGAGTTGCAGGGTACATGACAACACAACAACAACAACAATTTGAACCAAGGAATTCTTTGAATTTATGGCCAAGATATGTTAACTGGAAGACTTCTTTTTCCAGATAACAACTAAAAAAAAATACAAAAACCATTACTATTGAGTAGGAATCTTGGAAGATTATTTTTTCTCACCTAAACTTCATAAACAAAGCAAAATAAAAAATTCTTGCTGTAAAATAGGAACTAACTCATAGTTCACCCTGCAGTGAATGTTTGTGATACTGTATTTGCAAAAGAGATTGTACAACTCCCTACAGTTGTACAAGAGTTTGTACAACTCCCTCCATATCTTGGAGAAAGTGCAACCAGAACATTCCTTGTAGGTAAGGATAGCAAAGCTTCATCTCTTATACTTTGGGCATCTTGTTGTTGATTGCCGTTGAGTTGAACACAATTCATAGAGACCTTATGAAAAAAGGCCTAAAGCCTTTCTATAACCATCATCATTTATCATAGTGCTCATAGTGCATAGAATTTCCAGAGGCATGTTGTTTAGGAAGTGGGTGCCACTCCTGCTTCCAAACCTGTCTTAAACTAGGAGCTCCACCAAACACTGTCCACCACAGGTAACTTTTATAGCATTTGACACCCCAATAGCACAAGGTTCAGCGTCACAGCAACCCCAGGTTACTTCAGTACAGCATATTGACAGAGAGTGCTGCATCACCCAGAAAAATGTTTCAGCAAAATATAATAACAACTAACTTTTAAATACAAAGGCCTTTGTCAAGATCTCATTGACTTTAAACAAGAGGTTTATTGTGTTGTTGTTTTTTAAATATAGTATGTTGTAGTTGTTAATTGCTGTTGAGTCATGTGCAACATATAGCGGCCCTACGTACAGAAATACTGAATCTTTCCCTGTCCTGAGCTAGTCTCACTAATTCTGACACACCAACCCCCATTGCCCAAGATACTGTATCAATCCATCTCATCCAGGTGCTTCCTCTCCTGCACTGTCCCTCCACCCTTCATGATGTCCTCTCTAAGGATCAATCTTTACTAGCCAGGTGCCCAAAGTATGTGAGATGGAGTTTTGAAATCCTAGCCTCCAAGGAGAGCCTTTGTTTCACCCTCTCCAAGACAGACAGATTTGTTCTCTTGGCAGTCTATGGTATGTTCAAGACTCTTTTCCAGCACTACAACTTGAAGGCATCTATTCTGTCATCTTTAGTCATTGTCCAGCTCTCTGAAGTATAACAGATAATTGAGAAGTGTCGTTTCTGGTGTTGTGGGTTTGCAGGTTGCAGAAGCAGAGACTAATACAAGATGATTGAGTGTGAAGGGCTACAGCTCTATCAAGCAAATATGAGTTGAAGCTCATATTTATTGTAAAACTACAGTTACTAAAAATAGCATGAGCAGACTTCATGGTACTTCATTTTTCAGGGTACAAAAAACCTGAAAATATTTTGACTGAAGCAAGTTATCTTTTACTACCCAAGACTCTGTTTTCTCACTACATTTTGACTCTGAATGCAATGATTAAGTAAGTGTGATAAAAGACTGTTGACTCAGTGTTCCAGGGGATGTGCCTGGAAACATTTCTTGGCTTTCAGTACTTTTCTCAGAGTGCTTTTACCCTTTAGGGGTAAATGGCTCAAAGAGAACTGATGTAGAGCAGTTCCTGGAACAAGATCAGAGTCGCATTCAGCCCTGACCTTCCTAAGGGTTCCTCGCATTCAAGCGCCTCAGGTATTCCTGGAACATTTCCTTGTACAGTAGACTCCTTACTGCCATTAACCCTTCAGGGATCCTTTAGAGAAGACCATGGCCTAGATTAGGAGCACCTTTGTCTCTAGACTGACATCTTGGCTTTTCAGCACTCTGGAGAGGTTCATGATAGCAGATTTTTCCAATGCAATTACTCTTTTGACTTCCTGACTGCTGGTCTTAAGAGTGTTGACTGTGAATCTGGGCAAACTGTAATTGCCAACAACCTCCATCTCTTCTCCATCTATCATGGTGCTGCCAATTAGCCCAGTGGTGAGAATCTTTGTCTTCTTGATGTTGAACTTTAGTCCATATTGAAGACTACAGTTCTTGACCTTTTGCCGCAAGAGCTGCAGGTCTTCTTCAGTTTCAGCAAGGAAGGTTGTATCATTTGCACAC